ACGCTTTATTGTATGCGGCACCTCCATGGTACAACTGGGGTGATCCACGCAATTTACTGCTTATGGGTAAAAGATCCCACAGTGGCGAAGCTTCCACAAATTCCATGCATGAGGGTGACACCTTAAAAAAATAAGCGTACTGAGGTCTTTGACGCCTCACATCACCGGGCTTACGTCCCGACCAATACCGGGCTTTGTCCCAACCATTACCGAGCCTCGTCCCGACCATTACCGGGCTACGTCCCAACCTTAACGACCGTGCACCCCGGTCAATGAGAGGGTGACCCCTCTACAGACCACTACTCAAGCTCCTAGTGGTACTGATTATATGGTACCTGGGTGAGCCCCAGTTGTACGTGGAAGCCACTGTGTAGCTACATACGCACTGATGTATACCCTATCTACCCACAGACGGGAAGAACGAACTGCCACCATGTCAGACACTCCTCCATCATCGCCCATGGATTTTCAGGCCATGATCAATGCTGCAGTGTCGGTTGCGGTGGAAAAGGCGTTGGCCAAAATGATGGCGCAAACACAACCGGAGGGGGTAGACACCGCGCCTCCGGCGAGAAAAGAGGATAAAGAACCCGCCAAGTCCAAGGCGGAGGCTGGGTCGTACAAACGGCAATGGAAGGGATCCAACACAACCCAGTTCAGATCAGGCGACCATCACCTATCCGGGCGTCAGAGAGTCAGAGACGTCTCATAGACACGGAGATACGAACCCTGTTCACAAAGGGAGCGGTGGAACTCGCCCCAGACGACCAGGGTTACTTCAGCAACATGTTTGTTGTCAAGAAAAAGACGGGAGACTACCGCCCAGTCATCAACTTACGAGAACTGAATGGATTTGTGGCTTATCGCCATTTCAAAATGGAAGGTATTGACCTTCTGAGTGATCTACTGAACGAACGCGACTGGTTCACACGCCTGGACCTAAAATACGCCTACCTGTCTGTTCCCATGGCTCGAGAAAGCCGAGTCTTCCTGTGTTTCATCTGGAGGGGTCGCCCTTGCCAGTTCACATGTCTACCATTCGGCCTCAGTTCGGCTCCATGGTGTTTTACGAAACTTATCAAACCAGTAATGGCCCATCTGAGAGGAAGAGGAATACGCTGCCTCGTCTATCTGGACGATTTGTTGATCTTTGGCGACTCCAAATCCAGAATTCAATCTCCGACGAGATTTACCATACACTTTCTGGAATCATTGGGGTTTGTAGTGAACAGAGAGGTCATCATTGGCTCCATCACGAGTAGTTCAGTTCCTCGGGTTCGAGATAGACTCCAACTCTTGCGTGCTACGTCTCCCCGCAAGATAGCGGCCATTCGGAAGGAGATCCGAAGGATACTCAGGAGAGACACCATACCTCTCCGACTATTAGCGAGGATAGTAGGACTACTCTCCTCATCAATACAAGCGATTTTCCCAGGCCCGCTCCATTACCGGGCAATGCAGAGACTGAAAGCCCAATATTTACGAACCGGACACACATACGATCACTGGATTCCTGTCTCCACGGAGGCTCGGACAGAACTTCGGTGGTGGCTACTGCACATGGAAGCCTGGAACGGCAGAGTCATTTTCGGGGCGAACCCGGACTTTGTATTGGAGTCGGACGCGAGCCTTTGGGGCTGGGGAGCCCACTGCACCCACACATCCACGGGAGGTCCATGGTCTCAAGAGGAACAGGGTCTCCACATCAACTGCCTGGAACTGATTGCGGGATCGTTTGCGATTCGCAGTCTAGCCAAGGACATGGCGAACTGTAGCATCCTTCTACGCATGGACAACATTTCCGCAATCCAATACATAAATCGCCTAGGGGGAGCCCGATCAAGCATCTTGACGGAGGCGACGAAGGACATCTATCAATTCTGTATTCCCCGCAACATTACACTCAAAGCGGAATATCTACCAGGATCCAACAACCTCACAGCGGATTGGTTTTCTCGTCACTGGAGACTGGACACTTCAGTATTTTCAGTGGTGAGGGACCTCAGGGGTCCGTTGGTCGTGGATCTGTTTGCCTCTCGGACGAACACACAGTTACCAAGATATTTCAGCTGACTTCCGGACCCTCAATGCGAGGCAGTAGACTCCTTTCTACAACAGTGGCCTGCGAGGGGAGCGTACGCATTCCCACCATTTACGATGATAGCAAGAGTACTCCATCGCATCAGAACAACCAAGATCTCGATGATTCTCATCACACCGTTGTGGAAGAGTCAAGCATGGTTTCCGGAATTATTGGCTCTCACGCAGGACCATCCATTACTTCTTCCATCGGTTCCCTTCCGACAGATCCGAAAGGGGAACCACATCCACTAGTGGTACAGGAGAATCTGGAGCTGGAAGCCTGGAGTCTTTCAGGGGAGCCTGGTCCGTCGAGGGACAATCGCAACCAGCTAAAGACCTTTTATGGGATTCATGGGCACCGGGCACCCAATGGAGTTACCTATCAGCGTGGAATTCATGGAAACACTGGTGTCTGGGACGGAATTGTGATCCCTTTACAGCACCTATCACCATGGTGGTAAAAATGTTTGTCGCACCTCTTCACGGAAGTAAAATCCTATCGTTCCATCAATGTGACGCGTTCCGCAATTTCAGCAGCACACGTAACAGTACATGGCTCTCCGGTTGGTCAGGACCCTTTGGTATGTCGCCTAATGCGAGGCATCAAATTGTCCTGACCACGGGTACCTAAGTATAATCACATGTGGGACGTAGAGGTGGTCCTTAACTTCCTTCGGAATTGGCCAGACAATAAAGATTTGTCACTACGACAGTTGTCGGCCAAGCTTACGTTACTTTTATGTTTGGTATCCTTTCAAAGGGTTTCGGACGTGCGAGCGTTCGATGTGGACGGGTTCTCGATCTCACCAGAAGGGGTTACCTTCACGGTGTCTCGTAGAACCAAAACGAATTCAACATCTATATCTTATGCCTTCTTCCCTACGGTCCCTCGTTTATGTGTAGTTTCCGCACTTACGCGATATGTGGAGGTTACTGCAAGCATTCGAGCTTTTAGCAGAGGACAGCTGTTCGTGTCTTACACCAAACCTTACAAACCAGTTACCACTACTACTCTGGCTCGATAGGTTCGTTGGATCCTGTCCCTAGCAGGAGTGGAGACGTGTTTTGGGGCTCACTCGGTCAGGGGCGCGGCCGCCTCGAGAGCGTTCTCGGCGGGAGCTTCTTTAGCAGATATCCTACGTTCCGCAGACTGGACACAGGAGGATACCTGCCGTTTATTTTATTTTCGTCAGAACACACACGCGTCTTTCTCGCTATTACCTCAGCTTTAAAAATGCAAAATAGGAAGCCTCCTGTCATGTAATAAAATTGTAGATTATGCTAACATAGTGTACCTATAATCTTAATTTTAATAATGACAGGAGGCAAGTATTTTCCCTCCCTTCCCTCCCATTCTCTGGTTTTCTCATATGTCACCATTTCTATTGCTTAATTGTAACCTGCATAGTTTATCTAGAGGATATGTATGGGATGTTTGAGGTAATAGACAAGGATTTGTTGATATTATGGTTGGATGCTAGTATATGGAGATAGGTTATTAGTATTTGTATAGGATATGGATAGATATCGTATCAATGATATTATATAGATATCAGTCTATTTCCAGTCTCTTACACTCGTTTCTATTTCTTTCAGTGTGATTGCCGCTATTGGCACCGAAGAAGACAAGCCGGATAATGGATCTTACGGATCAAGTTTCAGTTCAATATGCGTTAACCCGTTTGGAGTTGGTTTTTATTGAAGTTGGACTTTCCATGGAACAAGTTTGAAACACTATATCACTACGAACTTAAGTTTTAGCTACTGACGTTACGTGGACTGATAGCAATTCAAAGAAAGAAGAAGTCATGTGACAATCAGAGCTTTATATATGGTTATGTACTCTTTTATGATTTGGTTTAAAGTTTATTGATTGACTTGTGCTGCTGGAGGCATGAGTAAAGAAAGTCATGCAAAATACTCGCCTCCTGTCATTATTAAAATTAAGATTATAGGTATACTACGTTAGCATAATCTACAATTCTTACAGTTAAAATTACAAACCAAGGAACAGAAAGCCACGGGTTGAAGAAAATAAGGGAGGGAAAATATTCACCTCCTGTCCTTACTAAAATTAAGATTATAGGTACACTACATTAGCATCTACAATTTTACTACAGTAGGCATCATGTTTTGCATTTTTAACGCTGAGGACTCCGAAAAGTGAAAGAAGCATGAGAAGAATGTATATCATAAAACACACAAAAGAATTCTCCCGCGTCCAAATCACAGATTGCCTAATGTCGGCAAACAATGACACCACTGCCGTAGACCAGTGATCCCTGCCACGGACAATAGCCAGTGAATCCATCTAGCCAAAGTCGTATTAGAGACCAGATTGTGGGACTTGACGTAAAAAATTTAGAAGCTGGTTGTGATGAGACCAATCTCGCCACTGTGCATTGGAGGAGCCTGGTTGCCCGCCTGCTGCCTTTAGACTATGGCCCCATGTTGAAACGCTTGATTTTCCCCTGCGAAGACACGAAAGCCGGGTCATTCAGTGCTGGCCCTGTTTGAGCGGTGATACCCCAGATAGCTATGCCATGGAGCCCATTCGTATAATGAAAGACTATGGGAAAGACTTTGGCTCCATGGCAATTGAACTGTATGTGTGTGCTCTGAGCGCCATTCAGTAATAATGTGCGCTCAGATCTGAGCTATCTGGGGATATGTTGAATGTACTTGTTTTGTGCAATGGCTGCACAGTTATATATTTTTATGTGTTTTATTGTCTTTTGCTGCCATGTGTTAAATGGAGTTTTGCCTCTGTCTTTGGAGATAATTGGATTACTTCCCAATTATCTCCAGGATAGAAGACTCTGTGGAACTGGTTTTGGGCAGAAAAGCCATGCTTCCTTTGGTCACAAAGGACTTCGATCTGTCGTTTGAACCAATGGACCACATTGGATGATTTTGACATATGTTTGTATTTGGAGTATGCTGATTCTGATAATGTAAGTTTTATTTGAATGTGATGCATACTTTTCAAGTTATGAATAATGTGGAAAAACTGTATTTCTCTGCCGGTGATAATTACATTACCCATTGTGTAAGGTAATTGTATCACAGACAGAGGGGAGGATTTTGTGTGGGAGTGTCTGAGTGTATTGTATGTGTTTATTGGTTGTTTTCCAAAACCCTGTGGGTGGTACTAATGTGTATATAAGAACAATAAACCCACCGCTCTGACTGTTGCTGCCTGACCCTCAAAACGGAGCCTTGTCTCGTTCTTGGGGGGATTTATTCTATGCTGTTCCAGTTTGACTGCTAGGAGTGTAAACCTATACGTATGGTTTTTCCTATTCGGCTGTTTACGGCATTGATATGGTTCCGGTTCTGCTGTTTACAGCATTCGTATGTGTCTCCGGTTCGGTGGATTGGTGTCTACAGTAGCAGTGCCTGTGTCTCTGGAAGGGAACATCTACTAAACGGCGGTTTAACCCTTTTATGCCTGGGGGTGCCGTTACACTGGTCCAAAGGTAAAGTCTGTAAAGGTGCGGTAACCTCAGTGTACCGTAAGAATGTATTAACGATGCTAAACAGAGGGACTGCTTAAAAGAACAGATAAAAAAAACTGTCGTTGAGTCTGATGTATCATGACGTGAGATAGAAAAGAGTACGTTGGCTGGATAGAAGGAAAAAACAAAACATAAACGTCGAACACCCAAAATGTGACAGAAGAAATAAGACCTAACAATAGCGTAAGCACTGCCGAAAGTAGTTGTGACAAAATCCCTATGTTGCCTTCCCCAGAGGCATTCTCCTACACTGTTTGGACATTTAGTTAATATTTTATTCTCCATTTCATTTTTAGGAACTAAGTACCGAACACTGACCACCCCCTGGCTCATTAAGTTCAAACAAACCACAGGAATTCAGTGCTCTCATCTTGTCGCACTAAAGCAGGCAGCTGGACGTGGTCGTCAAGCGCCTGGAACTCTGAGGCGGCCACTCGACGGCCCGAACACCAGTGAAAAAGGTACGAACGCCTGCTTATAGTTGCGGCAAGCCAAGAGAGCGTTGTTCGACAAGAACTCCCGAACAAACCCCAAACTCTGAGCCAGGGAACCCGTTTCACCTTTTTATTCGTACACCATTTCATTTCGTATGAAAACTCTTGAACTAGACCGACCGCTACCCCTGAACTTAGGGAACTATTTCTGGGCAGATATCGCCAGAGCGTTCAGTCAATTCTTACCCCCAGTGACGATTTGACTATGTTTGTGGGATTTGAGCGCTTTTCGAATATGTTGTGCGCTCAGATCCAAGCTATCTGGGGATGTGTAGACTATGGGGGTTCGGTTACATGAAATATGAATTGTATTTTAAAGTGTTTTTGTGAAGTATTAAAAGAGTGAATATTTTCTGTATTTATAGATAATTTAGCTTAAGCCAGCCACTTAACTCCGTTATCTCCCAGATTCAGAGGAGGGATTGTATTGTTTGTTGGTAGTGTCACACTTTGTAACCTTGTTGTTATTGGTTGTTGTGTTTGCGTCCATGTCCCCAACAAGGTCAATGTGGGCGTACACCTTGCTTGGGGACTTGCATAAAAGGCCAGCTGTGGCTTCCATTACAGAATGCTTTACCTCTTCATGAAGTCTTGGCTCATGTTTGGGGGATTGGGAGCTATAATCACTACAACTTCTATGCTTGGATGTCGGGAGATTCTATACGGATATACTCAGCCGTTACAGTAGTCGAAGATTCAAACCCGTATTGTCTGGCCAACCCCGAAAAAAAACCAGCACCAAGTCCACATCCCAAAAGGGGGAATGTATAGGTTCAAGGGTCTGGACAACTTAATACCTCCCAAAAGGCGACAGACCAAAGGGTCCTGACCCACTGGGACGCCTTGAAGCGGAACGCGAGTCATCTATATAGTGTGATATAGAATGCACCACATTGATATACCGATGTCAACCACCAAGCTAGAAGGGAAGGCACAGAAAGGATGATAGAAACAGGTGCTGTAAAGAGATTCTAACCCCTCTCCAAAGACCCATTACGCTAAGAATTCCAAGTGGAGATGCAGCATCGTCTGGCGTCTGAGCCATTTGGTCCAGCATCTGTGCTATCACAAGAATGTTCAGTTCCCCACGAGGTACCGTCAGTAGAAGGGAGAATGATGGTAAGAAGAGAGGAATGTCATAAGGTAGAAACATAGAATGTGATGGCAGATCAGAACCATTTGGCCCATCTAGTCTGCCCAATATTTCAAAATACTTTTAATTAGTCCCTGGCCTTATCTTAAGTCTAGGATAGCATATGTCTATCCCACGCATGCTTAACCCCTTAAGGACCAAACTGCTGGAATAAAAGGTAATCATGACATGTCACACATGTCATGTGTCCTTAAGGGGTTAAACTCCCTCTCTGTGTTAACCTCTACCACTTCAGCTGGAAGGCTATTCCATGCATCCACTACCCTCTCAGTAAAGTAATACTTCCTGATATTATTTTTAAACCTTTGCCCCTCTAATTTAAGACTATGTCCTCTTGTTGTGGTAGTTTTTCTTCTTTTAAATATAGTCTCCTCCTTTACTGTGTTGATTCTCTTTATGTATTTAAATGTTTCTATCCTATCCCCCGTCTCGTCTTTCCTCCAAGCTATACATGTTAAGTTCCTTTAACCTTTCCTGGTAAGTTTTATCCCGCAATCCATGAACCAGTTTAGTAGCCCTCCTCTGAGCCCTTTCTAAGGTATCAATATCCTTCTGAAGATACGGTCTCCAGTTCTGCGTACAATACTCCAAGTGAGGTCTCACCAGTTTTCTGTACAATGGCATAAGCACTTCTCTCTTTCTACTGCTAATACCTCTCCCTATACAACTAAGCATTCTGGTAGCACTTCTACCTTTGTCATCTGAAATAATTACTCCTAAATCCCTTTTCCTCAGATGTTGATGTTAGTAGGGTATCAAATGTCCTATACTCTGCCCTTGGGTTTTTACGTCCAAAGTGCATTATCTTGCACTTATCCACAATAAATGTCAGTTGCAACAACTCAGACCATTTTTCTAGTTTACCTAAATCATTTGCCATTTGGCTTATCCCTCCTGGAACATCAATCCTGTTACATACCTTACATCTAGACCACCTGCAATATCACTAATAAAAATATTAAAGAGAATGGGTCCAAGTACAGATCCCTGAGGTACCCCACTGGTAACTAGACCTTGCTTCGAATATACTCCGTTGACAACAACCCTCTGTTGCCTGTGATTTAAGCACTGCCTAACCCATTCAAACTTAAAAATTGCAGTTTATTGATGAGCCTTCTATGTGGAACAGTGTCAAAAACCTTACTGAAATCGAGGTAGGCAATGTCTGCTGCACCACAATGATCTATTATTTTAGTTACCAAATCAAAAAGGTAGTTCCAACAATCCAGAAACCACAATCTGCTCTGCCACAGGGGAGCGATGAGAAGGAGAGACTCTCTGTGAAAGCAGAGGAGTACTCTCGTCAGCATGGAGAAAAGTGGGAAGGCAAACGCCCTTTTTGCGCAGCCAAAGGTGAAGGAAAGCATCCACCACCTCTCAGTCCGGATCCGGGAGCCAACTGAAGTACTTCGGAAGGATGTCGGTTGGTCACGGATGCAAATAGATTCCCATTCCCTGAGGGATGGTAATTCATGGAAAAATCGAACCGTCTAGACGCCAGTCGCTGCACTTTCATCAGTGGCAAGAGAACCAGTCTGCCATGAGGTCGGTGATCCCCGGAAGATATTCTGCCTGAAGAGTGATGGTGTGCGAGACACAGAACCTGGAAATGTATTTTGTTGCCTCTGACAAGGCCCGGTATTGGACTTTGCCTAGGCGGCAGATGTATGGAACCGTGGAAAATTGTCCATGCAGAGTAGAAGGCAGCAGTTGGATAGACTTTTCAGCAAGACTGTGGTTGGAAAAGGATCACTTCCAGACAATATATGTACAATTTGGTCTCATAGTCTAGCCAAAGGCCTCCTGTGGAAGAATCCGTATATTGAGTTTCCCAGCCCCAGAGGCTGGCATCCAGTTCCACAATGAATTCTGGTGAAAGACCGAATATCGCCGTGCCATTCCAGGCTTGCATGTGAAGCAGCCACCAGTGGAGTTCCAATGGTGGAAACAGGAAAAGTTGGGGGATGGGTCCCCCAACTTTTCCTGTTTCTACCATTTGTATTCCAAGGACATTAGAGGGAGTCCTTGTTTGGGACTGCTGCCTTCCCGATTAGCGCTGACTCTACCCCCCGTTTTGTTACCAGTGGAGTTCCGCCCATACATCTGCTGAGAGGGCACCCCATTGTCGAGTGTCGATTTCTGTCTGTTCACCATGAAGCCCACAGATTCCAGAACGTGAACAACAAATTTCACCTGAGATCGTAGCCTGGGTACTGTGTTATAGAACATCAGTAAATCATCCAGGTGCAGAAGGCACAAGATATCTTTGGACTACTTTGGTGTTAAATTCAGGTGCGTTGGCAATTTTCCTCAGGCAGCAGAGGTGTAGTGCGGTCGGCTTTCGTCGTGTACGATCCTCTTTCACCAAAGCCATGTAGAGCTAATAGTGGACACACTGAGCCAGGTGGTAGGTGGGTTCCACTCCTTGAGCATCCAAAAACACCTTGTCCTCAGTCACCAAGGTCAGTGAAGTATTGGCATATTTCCTGTGGTAGTCTTCACCAAACACAGGTATCTTGACATACTGTGAGGTAGATTGGGGTAAGACCTGCCAACCACTCATCGACAATGCGAGTGAGGAGGGGAAGAATCATCCTCAATCGATTCCACTCAATCTCTTCAGTGGGGCTTAGCCTTTGACCTTCAGTGCTGTTGTGGTACGGCTTATTTTCTAGAGACCACTGCGCCTGAGGTTCATCCAAACCTAATGTCCCCGTTTCTACCTGCGGTTGAGGTAGCATGCATAATGGAGCTTTCCCACCGAGGACACAGCAGCAGCCTTAATCACCACTGAGAAATCCTGAGTAGATGGGGGAGTCGCCCATGATAAGCCTCATACTGCAGGATACTGTCAGTGGACATAGGTAGTTGGCAAAGCACACAGGGTGCCAGACTCCCAATACAACTGGGTTCATCCAGAACAGCAATATTATTATGTGCCTCTTGCTTAGTGTAATAAGTGCCAATGTGAGAGGGGATCACTCTATAAAAATACAAAAGGGTTTTTTCCTTTGAGTGATATGGGAGACATGAAAGTCTCATATAAATGGGGGGCAAATCCCAATAACTCCCGTCCAGGGGAGGCGGTACCATTCTGTAGATGTGCTCACCCTTGCAATCATTGCCAATGATGGCAGTTAGACAATGGGGACTCACCCCAGTTATATACCAGAGATGTACCCATGGTGAGCAATAAACGGTCTGTAGCTGCTACTATTATGTGGCACCACAAGTCTGAATTCAATGGTCTATTGCTGTAATATTCCTCTTTGTGGCAGAAAATAACAAGTGAAATACTGAGCCTGAGGTTCTTGTACGAAGGTAGAAGCTGGAATGGGCACAAAACACAGCAGTCCAGTAGTAGATCAGCCTAGAGGGGATTAGAACCCAGACCCTGAGAATATGAAAAGAGTGCGGTACTGCTTGTTTTAGCCATAGTAATAGCTTCACCTGTGGCCAGATCACTTGAATACACCAACAGATCCCCTCAGAAAGCCCTAAAAGAGATACAGAAATGAGGAGAGGGGAGAGAGAGCCAGGATAGTCCCAGGCTCCACACTGAGAAGGGGGGGGGGGGAAGTACTAGGCCACAGTGGTTAGAGAAGAAAGAAAGTATGAAAAGCAATAGATAGGAACGGTGGACAGCAGTGGGGGTTAAACAAACAGAAATATAAAGCAACTTAACTGTGACAATATAAAAATAAGATACATACAGAAAGAAGTCATAAGGACAAAATACTCTGACTTGTGCAGCAGGGTTAGCAAAGAAAGAGGAGGAGCTTGGACTGGCAGTACCTTTTGTGGAATGTGTAGTTGTTTTTTGGTTGGTTGTTCTGTGTATGATCTGAGCTGCTGGAGTTTTCAGTAAAGAGTTATGCAAAATATGAAGCCTCCTGTCATGTGGTAAAATTTAAATCAAGGATCAGCTGAGAAGCAAGGCTCCCTCTGGGACTGGCTCATGGCACCTAGAGGGAGTGGCTAACTAGGAGATATAAACAATGCATAGGATGAGGTATAAGCCTGAGCTGCAGGAGCCCCCTACTGTAGTTCCAACAGAGGAGCCAGCAAATAGAGAAAAAGATGGTCTGCGCATCAACTACGTTTGTGCACACCCAGGTGCTACTGCCGTTTATTTGAGGAGATTTAGATTGTGGTGACGGCTGTGAAATTGCACAATATTCATATCTCTCCCCATCCCCCCCCCCCCTTCCCCCTTATGAAGGAAACGCGTAGAGCTACCTTTAATTGATTTTATATTTTCACCCACTTGGAATCCGGACTGTGAGAGGGACCAGTGGAATTTGGTAATATGCTTTAATATGTTTTAAAATTGTAAGTGCAATAAAATATGGAGTGTTATCAGTGAAGATCAGCTTTTTTTTTTTTTCTCTTCCTTTTATGCAATTTGATACAACCTGAGAATTAAGAAGAGAGAAGATTATACCCATTGATTTTATTATAGGTTTTTGTAGCAGACCACGGGTAACCCAACCCGTTACCTCTGCTAATTCCTTCCTTCAGCCACTCTGGTACCATTAAAGCATACAGACATCCATTCCCCCAGTAACTAGATGAAACATAGTCCTGGGGGTCAACTCAACTGAGGTTTATTTGATCACACTTTTATGCCCGGTCTCCAACACAATACAACATGGGTTTTCAATCCCAAGATCCTCTGTGCCTGAGAGATAATTGCGTGAGGCAAACTCTTTAATTTAATCATCTCTCAGGTACAGAAGAATCTACAATAATTCCAAACACCCAAAAACACATTTTAATAGTTCATTGTTGCACTATAGAATATTTTTTTATGTAATTTGTGTAATGCATATATGAACTGGCTGCCTAGTAGAGGTGGTATTGTCAATTTCTAAAGGGGTTAATTGGATTGTCTGAAAAGTCAGAGCTTACAACCCAAATTCCTCTTTGAAGCTGGGACCCCCACAGAGCTACTTTGCAAGGTGTGAGAAGTCACACATAAGTGACCCGGAAGTCTGGTTTCTGTACAAACCAACTCTCACAGCCGCTATATGTCTTCACTCCCTATTAAATAAGGAGTCATTTGATCTGAGCAAGCCTTGTGTTTCAATAGCATATCCACAGATTCATACTCCTGCCTCCTTTTTTTATCATAGTTCAAATAGGACAAGCACAATCTTACGACTATGTAGTAGTTTTGCCACAGACAGTCCGGCTGCATGCATGAGGCTCCTGGATCTCCTCCTGACAGTGATTATAGTTCCTGTAGGAGCAGATAGGGAGATCCCCAGCATGAGGACCTGAGAACAATAAGCAGGCAAGCGAGTGGGCACATGTGGGCATGGTAGTTCCGTCACAGTCTATTAATATTGCGTTTGTGAGTGCAATATTAACTTTTTCCCTTTAATTTGTAGATACTAGTATGTGTGTGTAATATATATAATACAGAATCCAGCACACTCGCTTATTCACTAAACAATGCTTTCAAAATCTTAGAGATTGTAATAGTTTTATTTAAAAACACCTCACCTAGGCAAAAAATAATGGGGGTTTAGTTACATTATATGATCATATATTGCATAAGCCTGCCACAACGTCAATGTAACCCATTCTTGGCAGGTCCTACTCTAGCAGCCTAATGCTTGCCCTTATGAGATTGATCCACTTACTTAGGTAATACTTCCTTACTGGGACTCTCTGCAAGTCTAGGCTAAATAGGGTCCTGGAATGAGGCACCTGTGACAGGGAGGGGTGCAAAATGGGAATGGGGTACATTAACTAAACCCCCATTATCTTTTGTTTTTAAATAAAACTATTAGAATCTCTAAGATTTGAAATCATTGTTTAGTGAATAAGCGAGTGTGCTGGATTCTGTATATTTTGGCCCCAGCAGCACCCTATAATGTATGCATGTTTAGGTGAGTGCAGCCCTCTTGGTTTTGTGTGTGTGTATATATATACACACACACACACATTCTTAAGACTGATAGGAGTCCTTTTTGGTACCAACTTAAGGAAATTAGGGTAGACAAAGTATTTTTACCCCCTATTGCTATATTTTTTTATTCTTTTGTTGGTGTTGCTAGTTGTTGGGTATAACTGTATTTTCTAACATTCACTCTTTCTTTCACACAATTTATTTGATGATTGTGTTATTGATTACATTCAAAATAAGACAAATGAGTAATAGATGGAAAATGATGCCTTTGCATTGTGGTGGATATTTAATCTTTAAAAAAAAAAAAAAATACACAAGAGGTGGAGGAAGAAATATTTTGTCATAAATAAGGAAGGCACCAGGACTCTCATAAAAAGGGTAACATGATGCTTCTTATACATAGCCCTATTTAAAGATGCAGATATATCCTATTATGATATTCCATTAGCATAGTATTTACAAGGGTCACTGTTTAACTATGGTCAAAATTTATATTTCTAAATCCTAACACAAACTTCCACATTAACAATACTGCGAGCAATTCTGTCACTGTGGTGTTAGCTTGATAAAGACCTTAACAGGTCGAAACGTTGCAATAAATCTGCCTGGAAGCAATTGCAGTGAGTGTGAGATTTTCTTATTCGTATATATTTCTTGGGGTTTGCTGACCCACGCTCAGTAGCACCCTGGGTTGAAACATTGTGGCCGTGTGCGACCCTACTCTTCTTTTTCCATCATCAGAAGTGGTAGCCTGATCCAATCCTTCTCCATAGGATTGGCTGAGACTGACAAGGAGGCAGATCAGGGGCAGAGCCAGCACAATTCAAACACAGACCTGGCCAATCAGCATCTCCTCATAGAGATACATTGAATCAATGAATCTCTATGAGGAAAGTTCAGTGTCTGCATGCAGAGGGAGGAGACACTAAATGTTTGGATGCATTTTAGGCAGCCATGACCCAGGAAGGATCTCTAACTGCCATCTGATGAGTGGCCAGTGTAGTTATCACTAGGCTGTAATGTAAACACTGCATTTTCTCTGAAAAGACAGTGTTTACAGCAAAAGGCCTGAAGGTAATGATTCTTCTCACCAGAACAAATCCAATAAGCTGTAGTTGTTCTGGTGACTATAGTGTTCCTTTAAGGGCTGGCTATTTTAGAACTTGTCAAACGTCTGATAATAAACCACTAAAAAGATTAAATAAATGGTCTGTAACTTGCAGAGTCCAGATACAGTCATCCCATCGCAGAATGTATGACTTGTTATTCTGCAGACCTCTCTCCCCTGCCCCCAAGGGGTATTAACTAATCTGTAAATTCTGTAAAATGTAAAGCAAATAGCAACATTTAAGGTGAAGCTGCCAATCTCTAACTACAGAGGACTTAGAAATTTTTTTTGGCCACATCTTGAAATCCAGTGGGCAGATATATTGAAGCAGATGAAAAGCAATGTTTTGACCCACAACATAGCCTTGTCAAGCTTGCCTGGACCATCATTACTTTTTTCTTTCAGGCTCTGTTTCGGCAAGCATAAAAGTAGGATTTCCAGAGAAGTGACAGTTCCAGTTTAGAGCAGGAGAACCCGTGTGCGGAGATCTTGTAAATAGTACTAACCACGTCTGGATGCACAGTTCTCCCTTTAGGTTAAATACGAACTGCCCCATTGGGTAACTTACTACGGGGCCAATATATACCATAGGATCTGCCCCATGGGGTAACTTACTACGGGGCCAATATATACCATAGGATCTGCCCCTTCGGGTAACTTAATACGGGGCCAATATATACCATAGGATCTGCCCCGTCGGGTAACTTACTACTGGGCCAATATATACCATAGGATCTGCCCCATCGGGTAACTTACTACTGGGCCAATATATACCATAGGATCTGCCCCATAGGGTAACTTACTACTGGGCCAATATATACTATAGGATCTGCCCCATAGGGTGGCACAATATGGGGTTCAGTACACTGTAAGATCTGTCCCATCAGGTAACTTACTATGGGGCTAATATATACTGTAAGATCTGTCCCAGTCGGGTAACACCATACAGCATTCAATACACTAAGATCTGCCCCCTCGGTTGACATAATCAGGGTTCCATACGCTGTAGATAAGTTACTCACATGGTAAAGATCTCTGTACAATGCAGGGTGCTCTACCTAGGAGATGTATTGAAAATATGTTAGTATTGAGGAGTTGTGTTTAATTAGTACAGACTATGAACATGTAATGTCACAATCCTGATCTAAGCCCAGTCATTCCTTACAAATCTGATATTGGTATGCTAGCTTTGTCCCCTACCTGCCTCACTTCTACACACAGCAGTCTGCCGCTTTTCCTGAAACAAAAACCAAAGAGTAAAATTCACATAAAAATAGGGCATTTTCCAACCTTGTCTAATTGAGTATGAATTGTGTAAACTGGATTTCAATTCATTGTTTAGTGAATCTAGACTACACAGTACAAAAGGAGACATGATATTTAATCCCATGATATCAGATGTGTAAGGGTTGCTATGACTACTGATTACTGAATCTCCTCCCAGTACAGCTGCATGTATCTCACCAATCAGAGTCCAAGACATCGCCATACATGGAATGCACTGGGCTAACAGAATGAGAGTCCTAATATGCAGAGTTTGTCCGATGTGAGGAATACAAGTCTCATTGTTACTGCAAGGACTCCCAAGAGTTAAGCATTGGAAGTGCTCCTGAATCGTTGGCCAGGGAATATGTCCAGGATATATCTCCCCGTGAGTTTTGGCAATCCACTTACTTGGTGTCATTCCAGAAAAGCATTGGCCATATATGCAGTAAGTCAATTTTCTCTGAAAATCTAATTTCTATTTCCTGGAATAAAGCAGTTTCTCCTCCTCACAGAACTGCCGCAGACAAGCCTCGTGCAAAAAAGGTGACGTTTTTATCGTGTATTTTGTACTGGTAAACTTCAGACTTATCTTTCTCTCCCTTCCTTCCAGTGGGCACTCGCCAAGTGAGAGTAAGCTGTAACGCAAGACAAAAAGTATTCTGTACAAAGGAAGCATTCCGGCTGAACACAGACAGCATTAAACAATCATCTGGGACCTTCTTATAGCACACAAAGTCATGCTCACAAATACCACTACTAACGCTAGATTCTAATTTGAAATAAATGAATAATACATTAACACACACAGATATATCAAAAACAATCATATGGATTGTCAGGTTTTATTATGTTACATTGTGTCCCAAAACTAGCTCCGTAAAAACGTGCAATACTGTCTCCGTGACATTCTCTAAAATCTAACCCAACAGCAAAGCATTCTGGGACAGGACAAGGACAATGTGTGCGTGGCTTGTACTGTACTTCTCTCTGGCCAAATTTAATTTCCCCTGTCTCCCTACACATGGTGTTATGGTGTAAGGAGGTCCCCCTCCTGTAAGTAGCCTTGCTCACCCAGCTACGCACACATCTGGAAAACGGACATCTTTACAGAACCCAGTGACAGCCCAGACTCACCTGGCCATGGACATCTTTACAGAACCCTGTGACAGCCCGGACTCACCTGGCCATGCACATCTTTACAGAACCCGGTTGCGAGACCCTCTGTGTGTAGGACAAGGCTGCTCTGATGCCATAAAGACTTCATCACCAATTCATTCTCCTCATCCTCACACTCGCTGTCATTGTGGACCAGACACAGTACATTTCCCTGAAACACAGAGCATGTAGATATTACATAGTGATGGAGTAAATTAAATGACAGCTAGAACCTTACAGTTCACATAATGAGTAATGCACATTAAAGGGACACAATCAGTCCGTCTCCTCCAGCTTATATTTAGAAATCCACTAGTTACACCTTGTGGCTGTTAAATCGCCTCACGTGCTATAAACTGTAGTTCACAGTGGAAGTGTGTGCGTCTCACAAAGGAAAGAAAATGTTTAAAATATTTCTGTATGCGGTGAATTGTTGGAGAATTACGTGTACGCAGTGTGACCCAGTTCTCCATAAGAAGCAGCTGATTAGACACAAGCCAACTGTAATAATTTTACAGGAGGCAATCAGAGCAGCAAGAGTCTATCCTGACATTAAATGAATGATAATTTTGTGAAAATGCTGGAGATATATAATTGGAATTTTACTGTGAAATATTCGTACAGCTGCCCATTGTTCCAATGCTGCCATTGCTGAAGGGTCCTGTTATAACACCCACCCTCCTTTGCTACCCTCTCGCAAATACAATTGACCCTTTTTGGGAACATTAGAAGCAGAGAGCCTTCAGGGGGAGGGTTCTCCTGCTCTGCCTGTCACTCATACTTCTGCTGTGGGTGTAAATGATTATTTCCGCAGCATACAGGTGTAAGGCAGTGGAATGATTGACAGGTGTGGAAGGGCCAAGACTCCAAAGTGCACTACATTAAAATCTAAAAATGTGCTAGCATTTCTGTATAGATGGAATGTAATGCTCTTTAATTTACATGACAGGTACATTTTAACTAATAAATATTGATCTGTAGCACCACACCACAGCCATTATCACTAACTGTATACTCTGTATCCTAACCACAAATTCTTTATCTTTATGAGATCACAGTGAAATACTTTATCAGTAGAACACAAATTCTTGAAATACAACATGATATATCTTGGCTACTTGTATTACCTTGTATTTAGAGCACACACTGGCTCTACAGTACTGCATGAAGTCCAAGACTTGCACAGCCGTCACCCCCAAACTGAGCAGCACACTAACATCATCGATAATCAGCACTGGACATTTCCAGGATTCACCTGATGAGGGCGCCAATGATGCACAAACAAAGTCATACAGTGGCTTGAGGTCGGATCCTGCCCTGGAAAGACCATTGATGACTTTGAAAAGACCAATATTATACAGTGGAAGGGTCAACAGCACTTAACAGTAATGAGCATAAAGCCAAGGCACATGGTAGATAAAAGCCATATACACCATCCATTTAATTCCCAGAATCCAAGCCTGCATCTTGTGTACACATCAGCTATGGCTGCCACACAGAATACACCTAATGCTGAGCTGTGGTTATTTATATAAGGATCTCAAACAGCCCTATTAGTGGCTTCTATAAATCACACTCTAGGGCATTGGTTTTCAAACCAGTCAAAAGGCATGCCTACCAGGCCAGGATTTAGGGATTACTCAGTTGGGTCTAAGGTGTTTTTAGAAAGAAAGAGGAAAAAAAACAAAAAACCTTGACACAACTGGGTAATCCCTCATTCCTGGACTGGTAGGTTTGCCTTCAACTGGTTTAGAAACCACTGCTTAAGGGGTTAATGAACCTACCAATACTCTTGAATCCTGGTTAACATTTTAATGTACACAGTCAGTTAGAGGATTTGAGGGATGTAACTTACTGCAGGAAGCGCAGGGGGTGGGCCTGTTCAGTCTCCTGTTTCCCAAAGAGTAGGTCTGTGTAGGATCGCAGACCTTCCAGGAATATCAGCTGCCCATCATCCTTGGCAGACACAAGGTTCACCCCCTGTCAAGGTAGGAACACATTCAAAATGAACTCTAGGTAAAAACCTTGCAATCATATACAAGACAAGTGTGGTCCCAGACATGGGGTGTCTGGAACAGTCAGGTGTAAGTGGGTACCCGACCCAAATGTTAGCTTAGAATGAGACAGTTGCCTCACTCTACAGGCTGGTAAAGAGCAGGTAAATGATTTTTTTTTAGATTTACCCGTTTCTTTCTTATGTTTTCCACACCCACTCTAGAGGACACTGAGCTCACCAATCAGTGCCCTGTCCCTAGGAATACTGGAAAAGTGCATTGGGAATGCCTGACAGATTTACACATGTGCAACTAGACGATCTCTTCACCTTATAACATCTTGAAAGAGGCAGTTTGATCAGAGTGATTCATGCAGAGCAGACTCCGATGTCAGGCTTCTCTGCTTATTACAGTTTTCCTTGCTTTATTTTTGTTTGTATATTTATTTAAAAGTGTGTGCCTGCTGGTTTAAAAATTAAATGGTCAAATGATACATGTCCCTTTAACACACAATTTTGTTATACAGTAAGATGGAGTCCTGCAAGTCTTTACTTTCATAGCCCTCTCTGAAACCTTCCTTTCTCATCTACAGGTCACGTAATCTGTACAACACTATTAAAGGGACACAAGTCACCAGAACAACTACAGTTTTTTTATAGTTGTCCTGGTGAGTATACTCTGTCCCTAAAGGCTTTTTGCAGTAACCAGTCTTTTCAGAGAAAAGGCAGTGTTTACACTGCTCCCGAGGTACAGGGAGTGCAGAATTATTAGGCAAATTAGTATTTTGACCACATCATCCTCTTTATGCATGTTGTCTTACTCCAAGCTGTATAGGCTCAAAAGCCTACTACCAATTAAGCATATTAGGTGATGTGCATCTCTGTAATGAGAAGGGGTGTGGTCTAATGACATCAACACCCTATATCAGGTGTGCATAATTATTAGGCAACTTCCTTTCCTTTGGCAAAATGGGTCAAAAGAAGGACTTGACAGGCTCAGAAAAGTCAAAAATAGTGAGATATCTTGCAGAGGGATGCAGCACTCTTAAAATTGCAAAGCTTCTGAAGCGTGATCATCGAACAATCAAGCGTTTCATTCAAAATAGTCAACAGGGTCGCAAGAAGCGTGTGGAAAAACCAAGGCGCAAAATAACTGCCCATGAACTGAGAAAAGTCAAGCGTGCAGCTGCCACGATGCCACTTGCCACCAGTTTGGCCATATTTCAGAGCTGCAACATCACTGGAGTGCCCAAAAGCACAAGGTGTGCAATACTCAGAGACATGGCCAAGGTAAGAAAGGCTGAAAGACGACCACCACTGAACAAGACACACAAGCTGAAACGTCAAGACTGGGCCAAGAAATATCTCAAGACTGATTTTTCTAAGGTTTTATGGACTGATGAAATGAGAGTGAGTCTTGATGGGCCAGATGGATGGGCCCGTGGCTGGATTGGTAAAGGGCAGAGAGCTCCAGTCCGACTCAGACGCCAGCAAGGTGGAGGTGGAGTACTGGTTTGGGCTGGTATCATCAAAGATGAGCTTGTGGGGCCTTTTCGGGTTGAGGATGGAGTCAAGCTCAACTCCCAGTCCTACTGCCAGTTCCTGGAAGACACCTTCTTCAAGCAGTGGTACAGGAAGAAGTCTGCATCCTTCAAGAAAAACATGATTTTCATGCAGGACAATGCTCCATCACACGCGTCCAAGTACTCCACAGCGTGGCTGGCAAGAAAGGGTATAAAAGAAGAAAATCTAATGACATGGCCTCCTTGTTCACCTGATCTGAACCCCATTGAGAACCTGTGGTCCATCATCAAATGTGAGATTTACAAGGAGGGAAAACAGTACACCTCTCTGAACAGTGTCTGGGAGGCTGTGGTTGCTGCTGCACGCAATGTTGATGGTGAACAGATCAAAACACTGACAGAATCCATGGATGGCAGGCTTTTGAGTGTCCTTGCAAAGAAAGGTGGCTATATTGGTCACTGATTTGTTTTTGTTTTGTTTTTGAATGTCAGAAATGTATATTTGTGAATGTTGAGATGTTATATTGGTTTCACTGGTAATAATAAATAATTGAAATGGGTATATATTTGTTTTTTGTTAAGTTGCCTAATAATTATGCACAGTAATAGTCACCTGCACACACAGATATCCCCCTAACATAGCTATAACTAAAAACAAACTAAAAACTACTTCCAAAAATATTCAGCTTTGATATTAATGAGTTTTTTGGGTTCATTGAGAACATGGTTGTTGTTCAATAATAAAATTAATCCTCAAAAATACAACTTGCCTAATAATTCTGCACTCCCCGTATATCTCACTCAGACAGTCACTAGAGGTGCTTCCTTGGTGACATGCAGCGTCTCAACACTCTGCATTGAGGCAATGTACTTTCCCAATAGAGATGCATTGATTCAATGCATCTCTATAAGGAGATGCTGATTGGCCAGTGTAGTGGTGGGCTCCGCCCCCCGCCTCCTTTGCGGAGTTCATCAGAATGGACGGAAAGCATTGGATTGGCTGAGATAGTCAATTCTGATGATCTCAGCAAAGGAGACAGGATGGGAGCAGAGCTTGTGCAGCGCAGGAATAAAGGTAGGTTTTTATTCTAATTAAAGGGATGCAGCCATCTAATTAGTATTAACACTATAGGGTCAGTAATACATGTTTAGGTTCCTGACCTTATTTTGTTCCTTTAATCACTAACAGGGTCATTAATTAAAGTGAGAATTGCCAAGAATTTACAATTTGGCTATTTTGGTTTTAAATTTGAAATTCACTTTGAATTAATTTTGTATTCCTGATATCGCCGTACAAATGAAAATGTTGGGAATTCACCAGGGAATTTCAAACATTGGAGTAAAATGTCCAAATATGAAATATTGTTTTAAGAGTTATTCTAAAGTAAAACGTAACGTTGCCAAGTGTAAAGGTGTGCACTCTGTGGGTATTTGTTGTGTTTTTGTAAAACAATGAGTAATGAGCAAAGTTAGGAAGTTACCAGCTTCTGAGCAATGACGTTGTAGTGACTGAACGATTGCACGAGGCCCAGAAAACACACCTTACAGCCAGCTGGGGAGAGGAATAAAATAATTAGAAAATCGTAAATCCTAGAATAACCAACCATTACCCCCCACGCATGTGTGAAAAATTTAGTTCAGAATAAATTATGGAACCATAAGAACCTGCAGCAATGTCTATCTCCAGATATTTGATCTATGGCTATCCCTAAGAACTTACAATAATACCGCACCTTTCACATAGTAAGACAGGAAATGATGCACCAGAAAGCTCCCATCACTCTCACAGTCACTGATCAATATCAGTTTTCCCTGAAAGAAATGGTATACAGAGATTAACAATAATTATTCTCAGAATTCTGGCCATCTTTTCTAAAATCTCAGAGTGCTGGTGGCAGCACTACATGTGGGCAGGGGAAGGTTATATTATATGGAGAGTGTCAAGGCAAGTGTACATAATTCATTATTGCACTATGGAATAGTGTTCTTTAATGTAATTAGTGTAGTGCATAGACCTACCTGCCTGCCTGGTAGAGGTGGTATTGTCAATATAAAAAGGGGTTAATTTGATTGTATGGGAGGTCAAAAGGTTTATAGCCTTAAATCCTCTTTGAAGTTGAGAGCCCCACAGAGGTCATATGACAGAAGGGGTAATGTAAATGGCATAGGAAAGTGAAAAGGGGCAGATGGCTTACCATATGGATGGATCCTTTGATTAATCAAAGGCTCTGTAATGTGTAAGAAGTCACACATAAGTGGCCTGGAAGTCTACTTTGATATGTTAATGATCATTAGCGTTCAAGAAAAGAGAAAAAAAAAACAAGCCTGGTGTTCCAGTATCATATCCAAAAGAAAAAAAAAACATTTACCCACAGAATAATAATTAAGCCTCATTATTGTTATATTTGGAATGTGACCAGCGCCATCTTCTAAACAAGCCCAAACATGATTGGCATAACTTAACCATAGGGGAAGGCATTGTGATGTCCGCTATATTGGGTCACAAGTAAGAAATGTGACATATCTATGAAATGGAGCAATGGCAACAAATTCATAGAGGCAATTATTTCTTCTGTGGCAAGTACATAAGAGGAGATAGAACCAAATGTTTCCATTTGGATTGATGTTGGTCTGAAACACAAGGGGGTGGTTACTTATTGTCTCTATAGATACGCCTTAACTCCACCTCTGGGCAACGTGTGGTAATCCACAGGGTATATCTCTAATGAGACTGAAGTGTGCATTGTACTTGTTTGAGGGGCCAGAATCTAATTCTAAGTGAGTCACCATCTTTCTTACTAGAGACCCCATGGGGAAGAAGTTTTACTTTGAAAAGCTGAGTAGATGATTAGGACTTCTGTTATTTCATCCCTTTTGTTTTTATCTGTTGTTGGTGTAACTATTTGTGTCTGTCATCTATATTTTTGTATGCATTGGGACTATTTTTTGCTCATAATAAATATTCCTTTTTTAAGTTCTCCCTTTGTCTGGTAAAAAAATCACGTTACCTGAAGAGACTAATTAAGTATTTTGCAATTACATAGATATTGTGCTAAGTTACATTTGGTGGGTTTTTAGTATTATTAAGTTACCTGGGGGACCAAACCACCCCATTTAAAAGTTGTCTTGGTGGTGGCAGCGTTAAGATAGTAATAGTTATATTATTATGGTTAAGTGCAGGTGGTGTTAAGGGGGATTTTGTCCTTATTTCCAGCCTAGTGCAGTCAAATAGTGAACTTTAACCCTTTCAGCACCACAACTATGTCACACACACTCTTGAAGTAAAGTGCGTTCATGACAGGAAGGTTATATAATATGGGGGGGGTTGAAGTTATATTATATGGTGGGGGAGCTATAGAGGGGAGGAAGTGATATGGTGGAGAAAGTTAGATTATATTGGGGTAAAGTATTGTATATATGAGGCTGGAGTTATATTATATGGAGGTTAAGTAAAGTATTATATATATATATGGGGTGAAGAATTATTTATATAAGGAGTTATATTATATTGGGGTGAAATATAAGTATTACATATATGCGGGTTATATTATATATATATATACACACACACATGTATATATATATATACATACATACACTTCACCCCCATAAAATGTACCCATATATACACACACACACACACACACACACACACATATATATATATATATTAAATGGGGGAGGTATATTATATGTGGGAGGTATTATATACATTATATGGGGGAGGATATTACATTATATGGGGAGGATCTTATATTATACGCGGAGCTTCATATATTATACGGGGAGGAATATATATATATATATATAGAGATAGATATATATGTGTGGGAGGTATTATATATTATTATATGGGGAGGATGTTTATATATGAGGTATTATATATTTTATGGGGAGGTATATAATATTATATACCTCCCATATAATATATAATACCTCCCATATATATATATATATATATATATATATATATATATATATGAGAGGTATTCTATTATACAGGGGAGGTATTATATATATTATATGGGGGAGATATATTATTATTAGAATATGGGGGAGGTATATTATAATATGGGGGAGGTATATTATTATTAGTAGTAGTATATGGGGAAGGTATTTTATTATTATTATTATAATATGGGGGTGGTATATTATTATTATATGGGGAGGTATATTATTATTATTATATGGGGAGGTATATTATTATTATATGGGGAGGTATATTATTATATGGGGAGGTATATTATTATTATTATATATTATTATATGGGGAGGTATATAATATTAATTTTATATATTATTATATGAGGGAGGTATATTATTATTATATGGGGGAGGTATATTATTATTATATATTTATATTATTATATTGGGGAGGTATATTATTACTATTATATATTATTATTATTATTTATAATATGGGGGAGGTATATTATTGTTATTATATATTTATATTATTATATATCATTATTATATATTTATATTATTATATGGGGGAGGTATATTATTATTAATTATTTATATCATTATATATTTATATCATTATATGGGGAAGGTATATTATATTATTATATATTGATATTATTATTATTATTATTATTATATGGGGAGGTATATTATTATTTATATTATTATATGGGGGAGGTATATTAATTATTAATTATTTATATCATTATATATTTATATCATTATATATTTATATCATTATATGGGGAAGGTATATTTATATTATTATTGTTATTATTAATTAATTTATAATATGGGGATCGCTGACCCGGTCCAGGCTCTCGGTGCTGGCTCCCAGCAGGCTGTTCAGTTCGGTAAACATTCTCCCGGCAGCCGCTGCTGAGGGCGGAAGTCTGATCACACGTGGTTACCAGCTACGGATCCCGCTGGTTGGCGCTTGGATGTGGAAATGCCGCCATCTTGCGGCTAGATAGGGGACAATTCGTCATCCTGCGGCTGGAGGGCCAGGTTTCGCCATCTTGTGACTGGCTAAGTAAGCGTGATGCCGTTATTTCCGGAGTGTGTGCTGCCATCTTGTGAATGGCTAAGCGTGATGCCGTCATTTCCGGAGTGTGAGTGCTGCCATCTTGTGAATGGCTAAGCGTGATGCCGTCATTTCCGGAGTGTGAGTGCTGCCATCTTGTGAATGGCAAATTGGAATTTCTAAATGTGTGATATTTTCTGTGTTAATATTTATTTATGGCTGCTTTAATCACATTCCCAATATTAAAGTGGATCTGTCATTTATCTTCATTAACCTTTATTTAATCCATCTCAGTCACCTTATGGGCTGGCTGCCCTACAGTGATTTCACTTGTCCCACAATCTTGTTTTCCCTGTAATGATCTGCTTTACCCAAACTTCATCTGCCTCCATGGGTGTGAAATGGCAATGCCTCAATGCCCACCGCCCAGGGTATTACTGAAGGACTAGCCATGAGCTACAGAGTAAGATAGCCACTGGCCACATTAGCCACATTTCCCCAAATCAGCTATTGGTACATCCCTCCCAACTGTTACTCTTTTTGGAGGAACAGACAGTGTGGCAAAACTGATCACCTATTTCATGTGTTTTCCCCTAATTTCATCTGTTTTACCCTTTTTCGATTCGGGAGTACCTCATACGAACAATATCCATTCGTCTCCCTAACGAGGACCACCCCTGTACCCCATTAGAACGTTTACACCAGCAACTTAAGTGCGAAACCGCAAGGGAAGTAATTAATTAATGCTACCCCTGGGTGGCCGCCATTTGCTATAACCGAACGCACGTTGTCAACAAAAGAATAGCAGCCATCTTGTCTTCCGAACGTGGGCAACGATACTTGGTTGTCAAGTGCCTCTAACTCTTTTCAGCGAGGCACTTGTACGAACCCCAGTAACGATTAGACCCCTACCCATTCTATTTCCCGACCACCTATACCAATGATGTTCAGGAGATATAAACTACCGATGGCGGCACCAACTTCAGCCTGCTCAGCCAGGCCCCAAACGAGGACTCCCATTGATGCAGCAGCGCAAGGGTGCTTCAGTTTCTTGCTCCCGTCAGTCTGCATGGGTCAGAGTATGCCTGCATGGGTCAATGTGTGTATTCTGCATTCTTTAGTGTGTCTGCATCAATCTGCGTGGATCAGTGCGTGCGTGTCCGTCAGTCTGCATGGGTCAATGCGTGTGCGTCAGTCTGCCTGGGTCAGTGTGTGTGCGTCAGCCTGCCTGGGTCAGTGCGTGTTCATCAGTCTGCTTGGGTCAGTGCGTGTTCATCAGTCTGCTTGGGTCAGTTCATGTGCGTCAGTCTGCCTGGGTCAGTGCGTGTGCGTCAGCCTGCCTGGGTCAGTGTGTGTGCGTCAGCCTGCCTGGGTCAGTGCATGTTCATCAGTCTGCTTGGGTCAGTTCATGTGCGTCAATCTGCCTGGGTCAGCACAAGAGCATTGCCACTCTGGCATCCCTTGCGTGCGCAATGAGCGGCAACACTCTTGTGGATCGCAAGTACAGAGGACATGCTGCTGCTGGAAGTGGAGACTCCTGGGCCTAAACTGAGGGGAACACAGCAGCTGACACTGGAGGGAACACAGCAGCTCACACTGGGGGAACACAGCAGCTCACACTGGGGGGAATACAGCAGCTCACACTGGAGGGAGCACAGCAGTTCACACTAGAGGGAACACAGCAGCTCATACTGGAGGAAACATAGCAGCTCACACTGGGAGGAACACAGCAGCTCACACTGGGGGGAACACAGCAGCTCACACTGGCAACTCACACTGGAACACAGCAGCTCACACTGGGGGAACACAGCAGCTCACACTGGGGGGAATACAGCAGCTCACACTGGGGGGAACACAGCAGCTCACACTGGGGGGGAAACACAGCAGCTCACACTCACAGCTCACACTGAAGAACACAGCAGCTCACACTGGGGAACACAGCAGCTCACACTGGGGGGCACAGAGCAGCTCACACTGGGGGGACACAGCAGCTCACACTGGGAGGAACACAGCAGCTCACACTGGGGGAACAGCAGCTCACACTGGGGGAACACAGCAGCTCACACTGGGGGGGACACAGCAGCTCACACTGGGGGGGACACAGCATCTCACACTGGGAAGAACACAGCAGCTCACACTGGGGGCACAGAGCAGCTCACACTGGGGGGACACAGCAGCTCACACTGGGAGGAACACAGCAGCTCACACTGGGGGGAACATGGCAGCTCACACTGGGGGGAACACGGCAGCTCACACTGGGGGGGACACAGCAGCTCACACTGGGGGGGACACAGCATCTCACACTGGGGGAACACAGCAGCTCACACTGGAGGATATGAAATAACCAAAAACCACAATATATTTTACACTGAAGGGATATGGACTCTCATGTTAAAAGGACTCTCCAGTGCCAGGAAAACAATCCGTTTTCCTGGCACTGCAGGTCCCCTCTCCCTCCCACCTCCCAATCCCCGGTTGTGAAGGGGTGAAAACCCCTTCAGTGACTTACCAGAGGCAGCAACATGTCCCACGTCGCTGCTTCTTCCTCCGCCGCCGCTCCTCCTCTTCATTACTTCGGCTGGATCAGTCTCACCCACCGGCCGGGGAGCTCTAATGCGCATGCAAATGCTTTTCAATGCTTCCCTATGGGTATTTGAGCGACACTGGAGGTCCTCACACAGCGTGAGGATGGCCAGCGACGCTCTAGCACAGATACGGAAGTGCCCTCTAGTGGCTGTCTAGTAGACAGCCACTAGAGGTGGAGTTAACCCTGGAGTGTCCCTTTAACAGTTACGTTTTCATGATTGTTCCCTTTTTACTCACAGACCAATCTCTGTTTAGAACTGATGATTTCTACTTTATCCAGAACATAAAAAACAAACATTCCTATTCTTTGTTTCGAAACACACAGAATTCTGTGACAGATAAGCAGCAGGATTCTACATAATAACCAGAATCCCAGCTTTTAGATCACATAGCCAGCTTTGCATTTATTGAACCGTTTGAATAGAGGAAAATAATAACTAATATAAGTGAAGTAGGACCTCATTAGCACAACAGCTAATGCTGAGAAGGTTAATTCTGGTTATTTGGAATAGTCTGTCTGAATCTGATCTCCTGGGGACAGGAGGCACACGCACCCCGTCAGCCTGTGATACAGAGCACACAGTTTGGGGGTTATCTCCTATCATTTCCTCGCTCTGATCCTGACACACGCATGTCGCATGTGACATAGGGCACCATGCGAGCTCTCCGTGACTCCAGCTGTGCATTGATTTTAGTCCCCCCAACCAAGCTACTAGTTGCTATGGAAACACAGCATCTCGCTCTCTCTCTCAGTGACCTTGGCAGCGCTGTAATAATGCGGGATCCAGCTGAGTTAGTTACATCTTCACTACCATTTAAATCTGACCTATATACATAGATGTACTGCCCTTAAAGGGACACCAACCCCAATTTTTATAATGGTTTGAGGCTTTGGGTGAAAGCCTGCGTTTCTGTCAAAAATGTTTTGAATGGTTTGACAACAAAATATTTCTCACTGCACCCAAAACGCAGCTCCTTACCTTACCCCTGCGTTATCTGCCAGCGCTGGAATAAGCCGGAGCCACACACGGTAAGGTGGAGAAATCAAGGCTCTCTCCAACATATTATATACCATAATAAAGACAATATTAAGCATTGGAAAACATCCCCTTCATAGGACAGCAAACATCTGGTAATAATGTGTTATAAACGATAGGAATGGTTGGAGCAAGGGTTTTATATATATATGAGATATGTGGAAGGTATTTCAGGTGGTCCTGATGAGCTAGGTAACGGGCCATTGGTGTGACAGTGTGTTAATCATACCAAGGTCGAGTGGTGCTTAACCCCTTAAGGACACATGACACGTGTGACATGTCATGATTCCCTTTTATTCCAGAAGTTTGGTCCTTAAGGGGTTAAACACGTGACAGCTCTAGGTACCCTTAAAAACGAACTGTGGACACGTAAAGAAAGGATAGTATGTTCGGTAATACCGATTCACTCAAAAAGGTGTACATTAAACTTCCAGGTCAGGAGTGTAAGCGTTTAAAGCACCTATTAACCCCTGAGTGCTATGGGGCGGGGGGGGAAGGAATAAGTGAGTAGATGCATGGCTTAGTCCAGGAATGTGGCGTCTGCCTCAGCCTGTATCTGTCGCAGAACAAAGGGGACAATGTTGGGGATGCCCCAGGAGCATCCAGGAGAGTGGTCGCTGGAATAGGGTGTACCCAGACCCAAGCTATCAGGAAAAGAGTCAGCTACATTTGGTGACATGAGACGAAAGGTAGTGTCTCTTTTGGCGGCCAGAAGTGATTGGGATGGGCCCCATCTGTACTTAATGCCAGTCTCTGATAGGACCATGGTGACCCAGTGAACTAATCGTCATCAGACCAGTGTAGCCCTGCAGAGGTCGAGCAGGAAGGTGACTTGCATATCTTCAAATTTATAGGGGCTCTGGTTTTTAAACACCTCCATCACCGCCAATTTGTCCCAGAGAGTTTGGAAGAGGAGAACATTGTGGAAGGCCTCCGTCAGAGCCTTAATGGACTTGTGGAGCCTGGTTGTGCTGTCCACTGGTGTATTCTTTGCTTGTTTGGGGTGCAAAATAGCAGACAGGAGGCGTCGGATGAAGTGAGGCAGTTCTTGGTCCATGATGTGGCTAGCAAGGGACAAGGATTTTGCTTACACAAGGGAGCGCTGCATAAAGTGCAGGGATATAGGCGCAGTAACTACATTATCTGATTGAAGTGATGATAGTGTTTGGAGTCTCCTGGCGCCATCCTTCTATTAAACATTTAACTGTTTTAATGTTAAACAAGCTCCTAGAAAAGAGGGACATTAGGATAGAAAAGAGGGACAGAGGGATTTGGGCTGAAAATAGGGGCTGTCCCTCCTAAATAGTGATACCTGGGAGGTTTGCATTAAGGGGTATAGTGCAATACCCCAGAACATAAAGGATAGGTATGTAACCCATGCTGCAAGGCACACCTTCTGTCGCTATGACATGCTGCATGTTTAACCAGTCACTAATGTAGTGCGCTGTGCGCCCAGGGAGAGGTGTCATCAGGTGGATCAATATGACTATTGCTGCTGGCTGAGCTATGTTTATTAACTGCTACTCTATATCAGTGCCGCGGATTCAGCGCTATCTAAATAACACCAAGGAGTTTGGGATAGTATTGCTGGGTAAGCACATGGAAGGTTAGGGATTCTGAGTTTTACATTACAAATTGGGGAATTAGGGCTAAGGGGACAAACTGTCGGAGAAGGAGTGGAGGGTTACAAATTAGCATTGCCGTCTTTCTTATCAATTCAACACAATTTAAAGGTTTATTTGTAAACACAGGAATTTGTGCACAAGATTGATAGAAACACATACAGGTAAAAATAAAGAGGCAACTCCTTAACTTTAAAAACATTTTATTACGACGCGTCATTATCTTTATTTTACAGTATTTCCAAAAAAAGGTTGGGTGTAAGTACAAAAAAATTTGTTGCACAGCAATTTTTTTTTTCCGTTTTGTTTTTCTTTTTAGAAATCACACAAGGCAGTAGAACACGGGCCTGGGGCCGACTCGAGCAGAAAAAGGAGAACGCAGGGCATACACGCACACGCCAAACACACATTACATATCAATGTCATGTCTATATCTCAGGGTCTGCAATGAAAAGCTGCAACAAAACAGGTCAAACTAACCGTTCTCTCTCACTTTAGGGTTTTAGTAACCCTGCAGTTTATTTGTTTAGTTTGCAGTGTGATGAGTGTGATCCCTACAAAATGGAATAATCTCTGCCAATCGTACACAAGGAAACCGCCAACAAACAGAAGGCAAACTTCGTAGCATCCGTCACCCTGTAAGATCTGATGTCTTCCCTCTTGTCTATTCCTAAAAGCAAGATTGAAAACAGATTGCGAACTCTGCTTTACGTCCTGATAGTTTGCAATACTTTCTGTGTACTGTCACACTCTCCGGCCACATTCTGGACACATTGCCAGATTTGTGAATGGTAAATAGGCTGTGGAACATTTTATCCAGAGGAGAAAGCAGGAAACAGTTCCCCCCCTCCCCCCGTATATAAAAGTGCTACAGCAATAATACTGATTGTAATGTACCTTTAAACTGAAACTCCAGCTGGATTTGATCTTTCTTTATATATTATGGTCATAATGTGAAAAAATTAAAGAAAAATAACAACAATGTCCACAACTGAAATTCTTTAATATCCTGTAAATAACCAGGACCTGCAGTGACACGTCATTGGTTTCTGGGAAGTGTACAGCTAGCTAGAGATTGGGGTTGGTGAAACGGTAGATTCAGTCGTTACCACTCGTGCCATCGTGCAAAAACGACAGGGTGAAGCTCTACGCAAGGCCTGACCCTGGCGTGACCATATAAACCAATTAAAATGTTTTTAGAAATTAAATTCTAAAATAAATTGTTTCTATTAATTCTACATGATTTACCTTAATGGCTGCCAGAAGGTTATAGAGTCACTGTACAGCTGCAGCCCTAATAGTGTCCCTTTTTATACATCTCATATTTTGGGGTTACTCATTCTACCCTGTATTTGGCAGCTCAGTCATTCACAAAGGTCCTGTTTCTTTCAGAACAAAATCTACTGCAGTTTATTATAAAAATGTCACAACCGAACCCCAGGTAGTGTCATATTTATCATAAAGGAACTTTGTATCAAAAGTCAAGATGGACCTTCCTGTGAGCTGACAACCATCAACATCGATCTAGCTCTCCTACCTTTGAGCTGACCAACCAAAGAGATGGATCTAGCTCACCTGCTTATGAGCTAATCAACCAGAAAGATGAATCTAGCTCACCTTGTGAGCTGACCAACCATAATGATGGATCAAGCTCATGTACCTATTAGCTGACCAACCATAAAGATGGATCTAGCTCACCTTCCCATGAGCTGACCAACAATCAAGATGGATGTAGCTCACCCTACTATGAGTTTACCAGCCTTCCTCTTAACTGGTCATTATGGTTCTAGAGCTGCATAACATCAGAGGCAAAATAACCATGCGTTGGACCAGGGTCATTTACAGATGAGCATTTTGGCACACAACTCACTGTCCTGTCTAGACCAATGTTTGCACTTTTATTACTGATCTCCATTCCAACATCTTCACATAATCCTAACCTCTCCGGGCAATCTCCTGCCCTTGGCACTCCACATACATACATACATCTGTCTACACAGTGGACACTGGTCTATAGGGACAGGTAAGGCAGTGCCTCACTGTTTTTGTTACTTTAATAAAATCTAATTTGTTGTTGTGGTGAGGGTTAGTGATGAATGTTGGTGTGTGCTGATTTATTCTTCTCGCTAATTGAAGGCTGCAGATGGTGCTGAGTGGCTAAGCAACCAATCATGTGAAGTGACCCATTTAATGGGTATAGAGCCCTCAGCTCCCACTGAGATGACAGTGTTACAAATTTATCACTGGAATACCTAAATATAGTGTCTTCTCCCTCACTCCATAAAGTATGCCTAAAATAGTATTCACCAGAGTACCGGTTAGTGCGTCAGTTCCAGGCGTGATCTACATGCAGGTATTACGGTGCATTCAACATCAAACCGTGCGCTTAATGGAAATGGAATAAAACACAATGAAAGGAATGATCCATTACTGCTCACACTAAAATTAATTGTTCAGCTTTGTTTGTACCAAATTTTACCATCACTGTTTTGGGGCTTATTGGGTAAATGCTAGGTTTTAAGGGTAGGGAGCGGTGTAGGATTTCCAAATCCTTTGTTTTTCTAACAGTACTCTATGCCAGGGATTTCCACCAGCGTTCCTCAAGCCTCCTCGAAGCATGCCGTGAATATTGAATTCAGTACTGTAACAGACTGAAGGTAGTCCTTAAAATGTGCAATTTAATATGTATCAGCATTACAGTTTGGATTCCTATCAGATAGATATTTAAGCTAGAACTGTATGTCTCTCTGTAATAAGGATTCCTATCCAGTTATTACCTACTAATGAAGGTGAAGCTAAAAGACAGGTGCCCTTGGAAATGCGACTCTTCCTGAAGTGGGTTGAGGCTCAAAAAAGGTTGGGAATCCCTGTCCTTAGCTAAGAGTTATTTACTATGGTTTGGTGATACTTACGTACATTATGTTCTTACATTGGGGGTCTTTGTGCCCAGAACATTGATTATACGCTAGTTACTTTAAATCCAGTGGAGTACTAAATATAAAAACACCATTAATCTGTTCCGGCATCTAGAACAAACCGAACAGGCCACGGAGAGATGTTTTTTTACCCTACTTTTCCTATTGAGTAAAGAGGATTAAAACACAAGATTAGTCTAGTCTGCGTCTGACGTTACACCACCTTACGGTAACTTTGCCACCTGACACAAGTAGTTTAGTCCTATTTTTAAGCGTATTGACTGTCAGGATCTGAAGTGTTTCCAGTGTCATGATTATCAATGGGCTTATCGAGATGTGTTGGGCATGTGACATTTCAGCTTGTGGCCAGAATGGAAAGCTAACATTAAAATCTGTTTCACAAACAGACGATCACTGAATAAATGAGGTAATCTGAGGCTAAGTCTACCTACACCCCAAAAATCACCATGAAATATCCAGCACAGCAAACCGCCAGTGACCATTTAAGTGGCACAGAAAATGGGCATATTTGACACTGAAACCATTTTGGAGCTTATCCATTTGATAGCATATTCATTCATATTCAGAGAAGTCACAATCCAACTATCTGAGAAAACAATGTCATCACCTGTGCCAAAGCAGGGACATGCTTCCACCCCACTGAAATACAGTTTGAAACCCTCTTCAATTCATTTTCAGTGCGATTAGAGGACAGGTATGGGAATGGCAACCAACAATACATGTCGAAATGTTGTAGGTCTCTGGGTTGGGGCTGGCCTTATCTGGACATTGCCTACTTAGATGAAGTTTCCTCTTGGTGTGATGGCTTAGTGAGAGATGAAAAATAAACTGCAGTGAGGAATTGCCCATGTCGTGTGTCCTCTGGAGCTGGTCAGTCACCTTCTTCAGACACGATACCTGTCGATCTCTGTTCAAAACACAGCAAAGCATGCCGGGGAGTGGGGTCACATTAGAGGAGCTGTATGGGTATGAGACATTAATGGCCCCTCAGTGCTGGAGGTGACTGTGACGTGTCTGTCACAGGCTCCTCCAGCATTGAAGAAGTCAGTTGAAAATAGAGCAAGCATGGCTGGTGACTTTTCATGTTAAGTTGTTCAGGACGCAATTGACATCCACAATGTCTGGGTCCCCTTTACCACTCTCGTGCTTGGGCGAGAGCGAATTCTGGATGTTGAAGGGTTCCTCATCCTTCAGGCAGGCCTTCGGGAGATCCTGCACCTTCTGAGGCGCATTTGGGTCCTCCTGTAAAATTAGGGAGAATCAGTGAGCTATGATCAAAACCATTTGAGATAAAATAACTGTTGCAGAATACAGCTAAAGGTTAGTGCCACACGCTGACAGTGATCCAATAGAAGCCAGTCAGACCTGAGAATGCCACAACCGCCATGATGTCACCCCATCGCATTTCACAGACTAACCATTTAAACACGGTACTTGATATATAAATGTTATAACATAGTATCCTCTCCTGTGACCCTAGCATGCATGGAATGCTGATT